ATGTGAGTTTCTTGTAAGATATCAGAACAGTGTGCTAGCAACATCTCTACCTTTCTGTTTAGTGCTCAACAATTTGAATAATAATTCCTCCATGCCTTGTGCTCCTTTCACTCAGTGACAAAGCCATTAGGCAAGATTTCTTTGACAAGTTTTAAACTTTAATATTTCATGAGAAGATGAACAGTATGACCTAAATTTGCTTTGAGAGGTGTGAGAGAGAACAACAATACCCAGTGGAGGGGTTCTAACACTCTGGGCTCTTTTCTCTAAAGAAGTCAGCTCTTCCTTTAGTAATCTCTCTCCAAGAGATAAGTGCTTCGAAGAAAATCGGGTAGCTTTTAAAAGCTCAGTTTGTAAATATTTTTCCAGTGGCACAGCGATAACCCCACATTTATAGCATTATACATCAAAAAATGTAACAAAAAACAAACTTGCAATGTATATTATATATATTCATATATATGAAGTTTCAACAGCTGTAGTTTCTACTATGCACAAAATAATAGAATAACTACCTACTAACTACTAACATAACTAACATGGCTAACATAGTAGCCAAATACAGTTGTATGCAAAAGTTTTAACTCCCCTGGTTAATTGACATTTTGTTGTTTTTCTAAGGGAAAATCCTCTAGAAATAACAAACTTAAATACAACATTTTCTGCAGATTTTCAGTGCAAAATTTATATTTATTTGATTAACATGTAGGACAAAAACAGGCCTATAACATATTATTTAATGTGCCATAACTCTTGCACAGGCCACATTTTATGCTATTTCTCTCCAATATGTTAAGTTCAGCAAATAAACAGTAATTGTGCATTAAAATGTGCTCATTTGATCAGGGGCGCCAAGACTTTTGCATACGACTGTCCCTTGGAGCAGATGTGACAGTGCCTTGTGATTTTTAATCAATATGGTCTTCTACACTGTTGAGTCCACATCTTACATCTCTTCTCTTGTTATAAGTCATTGACTCTCTATTCCAAATGTTGCTGGATCTGATTAAAAATTCCCCACAAGCAATATTACAACGTTTATAAATTATAGAAATTCCGACTGTGACTGAAATAGACCCCTATGTGCCTTTTAGGGCGCTACTGAATACTTGGGCCATTTTTACTATAAAGTGCAAATTGTAAAAGGGAATTCCAGAGTGATTTTAAATGCACTAGAAAATCCCACAATGCACTTGTAATTTCTAGCAAACACTGTACATCACTACATTAGTTACATGTATATCAAAGTGCAGTTTAGAGTCTCTAAAAATAGAAATAAATAAAGATACTTGAAAAAATTATAACAACAAAGTCTCTGCTGTCTCTTGGCAACCCAATCTGAAGGTGCTTGGGTCACATAACACAGTTTGTAAAGCAGTTTCCCAAGGGGTTTGTTTGCATTTCAAATCAGTACGTACAAAGGACTGTACAGGAATGCTGTACATTTTGTCGTTTACAGTAACTTTTGTCCAAAGCAATTTCCATTAAGCACAGGAACATTGGCAGGGACATAATGTGGGGTGACTTGGGGTTAAGTGTATTGCTTATCTGGACAATGGCAGTTATGGATGTAATGTCTGTGATGGCTGTAGCTATCAGTAGCAAGTCCATAACTTTCTTCCAGAACACCGCTGGGCACAGCCAAGTTCTCCACTGTTCTCTAATTATAACAGTTGTTGCTGTTTCCATAGGTTATAGATACAAGCATTTCTCTCTCTGCTGGTTTCAAAGTTTTACATCAGGAAGAAGGAATGCCCCCTTTTTTTCCATTTATCCAATCCCCTATGAAAATGAAACTTATTGTCATATGTGTCATACAAAGAATATACTGTTATACAGTGTCTATTTTTTTATTTTTTCATATGAGATTAGACTTTATTTAAAAAAATGTTTTCAGTATTTCTGTGTTCTTGAGTGGTATACTTAGCTAAGAAGGAAGTAGATACTCAGTGCTGCTACTGTGTAGCAAGTGACCTGCTGACCTCTGATTTGGAAGGATTACTTAGCTCCTCTCCACTGTCCGTCTGCAGCAGCACTGGCCAATCGTTGCTGTCAAGTATACAAAACTGACTTTTCCATGCTCCACCCGCAAATGCATTTTGTGTCCACAGCAAGTCCTGCAGGGTCAGGTAAGCTTTACAGAATGCTAACCCTGTTCAACCTAATAAGAAACTGTACAGCACAATTCAGGTTATGTGAAAATATGTACAATAGAGTGCATTACTAATTTTAAATGATATTTATTTTGTATGGGTGTGAAAGGTCATATTGATTGGATAAACTAGGTGTAGCCAAGGTTTGGAGAGATCATCTGATCTGTTTCAGAAACTTAGAAAAAGGTTCACTGGCTTCAGCTGTTTACTAACTTGCTAAGTTAATATCATAGTTTATGCCACTAGATGCTGTAACATGGCTGAATTTAATCATATTTGCTAACATCATTTTTCTAGTTGCTATACACTAACAATATTGCAAAAACAGGAGTTGCCTGATGTCACGTGACATCAGTAAAGTCAAACTACCTGGCTGAAAAGAGCCTAACAAAAAATTATAGAGCACAAAGTCTGTATAGCTAAAATAAGGACATGCTTGCTGTAGCTGTAGGGTGAGATTGCACAACTAAAACATCAGATCCACCCTAACAGTGTAACCTGTCACTTCTATACAAAAAAAATATCATCTGAGATCCATAATACACCCAAAATGTAGGTATATAACCTGTTGTGTGCTACAATTACTCATTATGTTAAATTGGATTTTTGCCATCCTTCTGTAAAGCTTTTCCAACCTTGCAACAGCTGCTACAAAATAGGTGGCAGGCTTTCAGTGCCGTAGCCCCTAAACTTTGGAATTCCCTACCTGAACCTCTTTCTGCTTCCTCCTTCTTACTTCCTACTTTCCTCTTTGAATAACACTTCTTTCCGTCCTACTGTACTGCAATATAAAGCAACCTCATCATTGTGAAAAGGGCTATATAAATAAAACACATTCTTTTCATTAAAATGATGCCCGTGTACATGAACAGGTAATTCAGACATTCAGCACTCTCCTGCAAGGGTGATTAGCAGCCCTGCCACACTGTGGGAGCTGCAAGATGCAGTGGCTAACCTCACAAGTCCCATAGGGTAAAAATAAAATGAGATTGTTTAAGGTTATTAGGTTATCACACTATGCTCTTGCTCAGACTCTTGTAGTATCTAGTGCCTATTTACAGTGTCCACTTTCTATTTGTGCATTATGACAAGTGATATTAAAAATACACACAATAATTTGTTTAATGATAAACAAAAATGATTTTATAGAATGTTTGCTACGGTGGAGACACACTTGCAGTTTTCACTTTAACAGGGAGGCAAAAAACAAGTATTCAGACACTTTTGTTTTTGTTATTTAAGATATTTCCAGTGCATATATGAACTTCAAATTTACATACAATGTTTTTGAATTTTGTGCTAAATATATATATATGAATTGTGTCACAAAAGACAATATCATTAGTTAGGAAGATTTCATTCAACAAGTAGCAATCACAGTGGAGGTGAAGGAGCTTCCTAAAGTTATCAGGGACAAGATTATTAAATAAGACTCAAACGAAAAAAGTTACAGAGCCCTATCAAAGACCCTAAACATCTCTGTCAGTATATATTTTTTTGATAATATGCAAGTGGAAAGTTAATGGAATCACAGCTAATCATCAGGTGCGTTGCAAGATTTGATAACCACTCTCAGACTAATGATACGGAAAGTAAGAGAGTCACTGGAAAATAGTTGCAGGCTGAAGGGAAAGCAGCAGTAACTGTTGTACCTCCAGCTTTCAGGTCATCCTCCAACATTTGTGATGCCTTTGTGAACATGAATGGAGCTTTATCTGTTTCTCTCTCACCCCCTCCACTCACATGCACAGCAATGTACTTGGGAAATTACCCTAATCACCTAAGAAACTGAATCTGGGGAGAAGATGGATGTTTCAATAAGACAACGACCCTAAACATACACAAGACTGGTTTCTAAGAAAAAAAGAAAGTGAAGGTGCTGGCATGGCCTTGCCAATCTCTTGACTTGAATCTTACTGAAAATGTACGGATTTTGAAATTGGGAGTCCATCAGACTCCATCAGACCGTTGTAACCTTGAGGAATTAAAGAAGTTTTGTCAAGAGTAATGGGCCAAAACTGAACCACACTGCTGCAAAAAAGCAGATTACGTCTTGAAGCTTGCCAACAGCTTTGCAACAAAGTACTCATTGCATTAATTTGAGTCTGAATACTTTTTTCTCCTACCAACTTCACTTTTTGGTAACTGTAGAATACTGTTCATAAGGCTACATGACACCTACACAAGCTTGTCATGACAACTGATATAACCCTACATCAATGTTTAGGTTTTTTCCAATATGCATCATTCACTATAAAGGTGATTTGCTGATTTTGATCAAAGTTTGCTAAAGTAGCCCTAATTACACATGACGCCTATTGGAATAAGCATTTATAAACATGTATGTAGGGTTGTCTGTGTCATGACAAGCTTATGTAGTTTATATAACTAGAACTGCATGTAATATAAAAAAAAACAGTGCCCTCTGCTGAAAATCAGAGATCAGATGTCTCCATACTGTCTCAAGCTCTGCTCTCTTTCTCTCACACACACAGCAAGACTATCACACACACGGTCCTCTCCCTCTCTCTCTGTCCCCATGAGTTCTTCTTTTCCTCCACAGTAATGCCATAATGTCATCTCCAGAGCTTTAAGGCTGTGCCTGTGTGGGTGGAGAGAGTTACTAGAGGACATGCAAGGCTTTCTGAGGAATAAACAGACTTGAGGTTAACGAAAACCTTTAAACACGTGGAGGAAGTGGAAGAAGCACATATATGTTGGAGTCAAGCTCTTCAACAGTCAGTTCAGCGCACATCCCCCTCCCACCCCTTAACCCTTCCTCTCTCTCTCCCTCTCTCACTGGTTCGCTCTCTCAGTATTAGCTTTATCTGTTCCTCTCTCACCCCCTCCACTCACACGCACTCCACTCGGAGCACTTGGATACAGCGCTGAGGACTTGGCTGGTCTTTCTCCTCCCTAAAGAAGCGCTCATATTAACCTGCGCTCCAGGACAATCCGGCACATCCACTTTAAATGGCACGCCACCACGCTGGACCACAGAACGAGGAGCGACAAAGGAGTAAGTGACAGAGACGGAGAGAAGGAGAGAGAGAGAGAGAGAAAGACAGTAAGAGGGATTCCCCCGTGTCTGGAGTAAACAGAGGAGATGGCGGTAAGCACACATTGCTCTTTTTAATAAAAATAACTAAATAAATAAATAAATAAAAACATAATAATAAAGACAATAGGTAACCTGCAGGTACAGTGGAAAAATCCATTGTTCCCTGCTTAAACCCAGTTACAAATGAAGATTTTAACAGCATTTGACAAAAGGGCTCATCTGCACTGTTGCTTTAAGCACCTGAGGCAAGTTCTCCAGCATATGAACTAGGAATCATGAAATGAATACAGTAATAATAACAGTAACTGTAACGCAACTAACCAGTTACTAATAATAGTAATTGTTGCTGTTAACATGGTGATGGTTGAAATTCACATCTTTTATTCGAATTGCTTTTGCAGAGAACAGAAAGATCGAAAGCTAAACTAGGTCAAGTGTTCTTCATATTGTTTATTCTTCCTCTTTTTTCACTCAAGTGAATCCTCCTCACCTGCTTTTACCGTCACGCGTGAAACTCACGCTCTCTCTCTCTCTCCCTTCCTCTCCCTATTCTGCTCCCTCTCTCTCTCTGTATTTCTCCCTTGCTCTTACTCTCTCTCTCTCTCTCCAGTATTTCGCTGTTAGTGTGTCACAGGAGATGGGGGGCGTTGGGGGTTTGGGAGAAAGAGTTAACAGTTGAGAGTGTGTGTGAGGTTTAAGGTGTGTGTTTCTCTTTCTTCTTCTTTCTCTCCTTCACTAGTGCGCTGTGCTGAGCTTTCTTTTAGCTGCTGAGCTAATTAGGCTGGATTGGCAGACAGTGTTGGGCTGGTAACTTAGAAACAGGCATGTTGGAAAAGCTCAGTGGAGCACACACACATACACATACACACATACACACACACACACACCACAAGGGAATTCTTATAGGAAACAAAAGGAGGATGCGTATGTGTTCCACCACGTCAGTCTGCTGCACTAATGATAGTGTTACACACACTGCTCGAGAGAGAGAGAGAAAGAAAAATAAAAAAGAGAGAGTTTGACAGAAAAAGAATGATAGAAATAACACGGAGTAATACAGAGACATATAGGGAGAGAGAGGCGGAGAGGATGAAAGCAAAAGACAGACTGAAACTGGCTGAGAAAGAGAGAGAAAGTAGAGAGAGAGAGAGAGAGAGAGAGAGAGAGAGTGTTAATATGGACCTGATTTGTTGATGCAGGGACAGTTTTTTTTAAACAAGTCCTCTGACCTCATGAGCCTGATAATTGCCACATTTTGAGATAACCACACCATCTCTGACTCATTTTGGAAGCTACAGTATTTACCATCAACAAATCAACAGAACAGTATAAATACATCCCACCTGTTCTAGTCAATGATTCTCATCAATGATCCCTTATAAAGAAAATATAAACTGTAAAGGTTCCCTATAGACCTATTTATTTCAGAGTGCTGATGTTACCCTCTAAAACGCCTGTGCATGTGTCCCCGGTTTTCTGAACTGGATCTTGTAATGTGAAGAGCAGTGAAGTTTTCATTTGCCTCTCAGTAGGGCTCTACCTAATGAATGACTAAGAATTTTTTCCTCTTAATTAACCTCCAAACAACACTACTGGAGAGGCTCGGTGCTCAAACCACAACAGAGCTATTAAGCTTCTTTCATGGGACGTGCTGCTTTCATAGATTTTGTGAAGATTAAATATTTATTGAAGAGAACAGTCTCAGACAATGCAACATCAGTAGTCACTTCAGCTGACTAGGAACAGAAATGCTCTAGGATTATCCTGTTAGAATCAAAAAGGACACATCAGCCAAACCTGCTGACATAAAACCCCAGAAGTCTGAATTGAACACTAGTGATGAAAGCATGCTGTGCTTATTCAATTATCTTCTCCCCATTATATCCTATTGAGCTACCTATGCCCCATCCACAAATGCTTTATCTGGTAGCAACTCTCGTGGCACTGGATGAACTTTACAGATTGTTGGCAAAAATCTCATTCAACTAAGAGAGCTTAGGCTGGAGTTTAGATTTGCTATATACCATTGAGTTTTTGGTTTCGAATGCTGCACTGAGCTGGACTATGTTGTTATAGTTAATCAAAACTAGGCAGTCAGAAAACGACTATGAATCTACCTTCAATCGCTAGCTCAATTATAAATTGATATACTAGTCAAATGACATATTTAGCTGATTTCCTAAGTGAAAATAAGCGAAAACATCCTCTACAGCAAACACTTCTGCACATTTAATGCATAATTACTGTTTACTTGCTGACTTTAACATAATGCAGGAAAAACGTGGCCTGTGCAAAAGGAATTGCAGATTTTATAACTTGTGTTACTTTTTCCTAATGTGAAATTCAGCAAACAGATGGAAATTATGCACTAAAATGTGGGTGTTCAAACTTATATGTGTATGACTTTATGAGCCTTCAGACACAAACAATACATACATGTCTCTGTGTATGACTTTTCATCGACATAACCAAACAAAAAAGTCAAACTATCAATAAAACATTTCCATATTTTTTTAGTGGTGTTGCAATTTCTCATTATGTTGAAGGGAGATTTTTGCTATTGTTTATTGCTGAGCTTATCTAACCTTGCAACAGCTACTACAGCAAAAAGCACTTGTAGGTGGAGCATAGATGGATGACTTATTTGGGCACTTTTAGTTGGGCACATGATGCACAATGACAAGAAAAGTTGCTTATAAAAAGACTGACAATGACAACAGTGATAATGACGAGGGCCTAGAGAGTAAGAGACAGAGAGGAGAGGGAGAGAGAGAAGAGCACATCACTTGACAGACATCTAAATGCGGACTGGCAGGAAATCCTCAGTTCTGCGTGTGGGTGAGTCACTGACGTCTGAAAAAGGTGTATGTGTGTATATGTGCGTGTGCGCAGGAGTGCAGTACTATCCATTCACACAGACCAAGGCAGAACTGATGAGAGGCAAGTTTAATTTTATGCTAGCCAAAAAAACAAGCACCACTTTGTTTGCTCATATATGTGTAATATCGTTTGTTACTAACTTAAGGCTAATTAACCCTGATCTAAATGCTTACGTCTAAAAGAGGTAGATGCGGTCCTAAAATCTCAGCAGCATTCGAAACCAAAAAATCCATGTGCAGTCAATGGAATTATACATATGCCTTTGATGCTGTTCACATGGACCACTGAGTGTACCGATGAAGTAAGAACTTGAAGGACGGACAACTTATTTTCTTAACTAGAACTAGGCTAATCAGCTAGCTAACAGGCAAAACAATCCCTTTATTTAATATCACAGGCTTTGAATTAAAGGACTTACTATACGGTAAGCTATACAACTGCAATATTAAAGACTACAGAATATGTGCCTTGAATGTCAGATTTCTAAACAAGACTGGAATCGCATAGAGGCACTAATGGAAATTAGCATTGTCATTGTGGTGGTAATATACTTACAAAGTGAAGCTTTTTGCATTAAACAGTGCTATATTATTATATGTTGATTATTATATGACAAAAAGTTACACACTTCATGAAATGACCACAATACACAATAATTGGCAACTGAATGTTCTTGACCTCTGTCAGCAGTCCATGGTTGATTGGCAACAAAACATACTCTAGCAGAACTAAATTTCTTGATGGAATCATTATTTATCTAGATGATTATTCTTAATGATAAATGAAATAATTTATGAATTATGTATTGACTGAAAATGTTAGATTTTATCATATTTTATGTTGTCAGCAATTTTATAGAAGCAATAAACCACGTGCATTACACTGATTTGTGTTGTGCCTAATAAAATCCTTACTCATGATAACATCACTGTAACACGTCCTGCTTTATTGCATCAGCAAACACATAAGCAGCAAAGTTCCACTTGCTTGACTACAATGTTGTAAAAAAGAAGAACTCCGCAAAAAAAAAAGAACCAAAGTAGAACCTCCAGATTTACCCACAGCACCACCGAAACTTTTACATGACTTCCACATAAAAGACCAGGCACTAGTCAGTGCCTCACTCTTCTGAAATTTAGTCAACAGAACTAGAAAGAAAACTATTAAGTATTTTTTCCTTTGCTTTTTGAGTGTGTCAAAAAAAAAGGAAAACCAAAATGCCGTCTCTCTAGCAGACACTTTGCACGTCTGTCATTTGAACTGGCTGACCACTTTGGAATGCTCTTACAGCTCCAGCCCTACAATCAGTCAGCACAGCGAGTTCGCTTGAAGTACTCCGAGAGTACAGCTTTACATTTCCAGACAGATCCTACAAAAATGGTCAGAGTGTGTTCTGGCCCACTGGGTGTGATCATAAAAATGAGCTGGAAGATTCCCCTTATGTTTTGATTTCAGACGATTCAAGTGCAGTTATGACCTCCTCATAACGAATTCTTCCTTAATTACTCCGCTCTCAGACCGCCTGCACTCCCTGCACATTGGAAGTGTTCGTCTGAGCGTGACAGTAGTCCAGGAATGAGTCTCTCACTTCCTGTCAATCCACAGAGAGTGCTGAATAGTGCCATTATGACTGGTGCAAAGCACTCATTGGCCACATCAATCAACCTACTACTTTGACACTGTTTGGTAGAATTACAGTTCTTCTGAACACCCTTTGACATTACCAGAAAACTTTCAGTAGTTCACTTTTTCATACAGCACATACAGTCTGAGGCTCCTTGGTAAGGACTGTTGGGTTGACCTCAGCCCAAAAAAACCCATAAACTCAAACCCATTACCTCCTGAGACTTCATTTATTTACTGTGACCCTGCACATTACCAATGACACATGCAATACTTAATCACCACATACTGCATGTGTATTACAAGAATGCATTAAGGTCACCAAGAATTATGCACAGCATATATTACTTTTACTTTGTGGAGCCATTTAAAGTGCTGTGTATGATTTAATAGAGTTCTTGAGTTAAGCATGGCAGTTTCCAAAACATGTTTCTCTGCATTTGTTTCTAGTGCTAATGTGATGTTTTCAGTTCACCTACACAACACAGACAAATGTGTTCTTTCATATTAACAGACCTCTGATGTTGTGTCATCATTCTGTGGTCTGC